GAATACGTTGCCTTGGAGCTGATCAATGTGACCTACAACAATCATGAACTCATCAACGCGGATGCTGGAGGTCAGGGTGATCATAGATTCTATAGATCCTGCTTGAAAGCATGGCCGATCAGCGCCGATCAGCGCCGATCAGCGCCGATCAGCGCCGATCTTCCCAAAATTCATGAGACCTAGACCGATTTCTTGCGTTGATCCAAGAAAAATGATGTTTTCACCAGTTGCCCAGTTGTCCGGAGCAGCTCCAGATGCCTGGTTTTGTTGTGCTTTTTAAAGACACCTCCTTCGCAGGTGTGTGCTCTTTTGCAAGCCATGAAATCGATCGGCCCGTCCTGCTTGCTCAGTGCAACTTGGCTGCGCATCGTTGCTGTCAGGGTGCAATAAAGGGTCTGCAAGGGAGCAAAGCTTCTTGGCGGTTGAGGTTACAAATGGATATAACATGATGGCGATAAGCTCTCCATCAGTTGTGATATAACATGATATAACCCCTTTAATTAATTGAATAGTCATATGAGTCATATATCTATCTTATGTCAGATGTCATCCACATCACTATCGAAGCCCCAAGGCAAGAAGAAGGAGCTCTTAGCTTTGGCTGCTGCGAATGGCGTTGGTGAACCCAGCATGGCTCGATGACTTCGAGTTGCTGATGGCTGACTTTTTGAGGTCACCGGGAAAGATGATGATGCTCTTTGCAAAGACCCCAAGGCCAGGGCTAGGTTCAAGAATTTGTTATGGTTTGTCTGAGAATAGGATATTTTGATATATATATATACCCAATTCCAATAGATTATGAAGATTATCTGTATGTTCTGTATGAAAATTGATGAAAAGGGGTCTCCCCCATTGACAAACCACTGCCGTGGACAGCTCGCCATCATCACTTCTCTTGTCAAACCATGAACGTGTCGTAATCCGGGGTATGTGTTATGGTCAATTTCTGAAAAATGCGATTCTGATGTTTTGCCCATGTTCTTAGATTTAGTTGCTGATGTTTGTTTTCACTACTTGAGGAATCTATAGGAAATATAGGGAATATGTCTTATTTTTTGGTGCTTCCATAAGCAAATCACAGGTCATGGCAGCTGTTAAGACTGCTCTGGATGCAGTGGCGAAGGCAAGAGTGGGATGTGATACCTCCATGGGAAAGGGGAATGGTACTGTCCAATTTCAGGATCCCCATCATATATATATTAATATATACATATACCATATTATGGCATGTACCAATAATGGTGGGATAATCAAAAGCCATAATATCCCAGTCCCAGTGGTAAACATAATGAGCTGATCATATAATATGTCATTATTCATTATGATATGTAACCCATAATTATATGTAATAAGCGAAATATATGTGGTTTCCACCATGCGCATTCCATGGGATCACAAGGAGTCTCCCAGCGACCAGGCACATAAGCTTCCGGCCTTGATGCAAGCGATTGCAGTGATGCCTGTGTTGGAGCCCTGGACCCGCGAAGTTCGGCTGCTGCTGGGGGGCTGTTCGGCTGTTGCGTGTCAAAAATGTTTCATGAGCTACTTAGAACAATAGAGATGACCAGATGAAAATGGTATTAAATGTTGTCTTGGAATGCTTTTCCGGCCTCAACTCGAGTTTGTTTGCCGCAGGACTGCCGATAATGGCTGCCTGACTGCCACATCTAAGCTTTGAGCCCAGTTATTTGAGGGTATGGCAATAGTTATGCATTGCTCACCTTTGCAACATGGCAACATGGATAGCAAAGAACATTCAAATGCGATCCGATACGAAGGTTGTAGGATTGACATCCAATCTTCAGAATGCGGAATCCCTAAAATGTCATGTTCAAGCCACCTCTCAAAGAGGTCTTAGCATTTCAATCCATGGAACATATCCTTTGATGATGTTTTGTGAGGTCCAAAGCCCTAATCACCAAAGTTCTTGTGCAGCAACCTGGTATAGGTTGGTGGCCAAGAAGATTTACCAGCTCCATGAAAAGGCCCGGAGCGCACGGAGCAGCTGGCTATGGTAATATCCTGCGGCCATGGAAAGTGGCCGTGGACTTTTGTTGCTCATCTATACTTTGGGTCATTTTCCATGGCCATGTGAAATGACCAGAGGGCAACTTAAATAAATTTTAATCGAGGTTTTCAAAGTCACGAGAAATCCAAATGTTCATCATGTTCATCGGTCTTTTCCATTAAACCATCCAGCTATTGGGGATTTTTCAGTGGACAGGACCTGGACGTGTTGAAGCCGATGGCCATGAAGGGATGATTCGGCATTGATTTGCACAGCCTCGATTGGATGAAGAAAAATGCAGATTTCATGGAGATGGTCCATTTGGATTGGTCCGGATATTCTACCATCTGGTTATTTAACATAGCCATGGTATAGATGGCCCATAGAAATAGATGGTAATAGCATGGTGATTTTCCATGGCTATGTTAAACAACCAGATGGTAAGGATATGCGGATTTCTGATTTCGCGGGTATTTTCAATAAACGAGAACA